CCATGTACACCAAAATAGAAGACATCTCCAGTCGCAGCCTGGCTGGAGAAGACCTTTGGAATTCATGTCACCTCCAAACAGCTGCGAAACTTCTAATATGGGGTTACCCATGGATAGCTACTTGGAGACCAGTACTCTCGATCTGGATGACCTCCAACATCGAGCAGCTCCGACAACGTCACTACGGTCTAGGACATCATCTTCACCGTAGTCGCCAAGGCGCGAGTTGATGGTATGGACCGGACGTACCTGAAAGGGAAGACCGACATTTTCTTCGTGGACCGGACTGAAGGTTAGCGTTGGCAGTTACCTCGAGCAGCTCGAGAAGAATATCCTCCCCACATTTCGTCGCCCGTACCTTTTTGGAAATTTGTACTGCTCGAGTAACCGCCAGCGCTCACCTTCAGTCCGGGTCCACGAAGAAATATCGGTCTTCCCTTTCAGGTACGTCCGGTCCATACCATCAACTCGCGCCTTGGCGACTACGGTGAAGATGATGTCCTAGACCGTAGCGACGTTGTCGGAGCTGCTCGATGTTGGAGGTCTTCCAGATCGAGAGTACTGGTCTCCAGGTAGCTATCCATGGGTGACTCCATACTAGAAGTTTCGCAGCTGTTTGGAGGTGACATGAATTCCAAAGGTCTTCTCCAGTCAGGCTGCGACTGGAGATGACTTCATATTTTGGTGTACATGAAGGTGATGGGCGAGAGCCAGCTCCTGCTTATCGAGGAACATCTTGGGTATCTTCCGCCCTGGTACTCGTATCCACGTCCTCTGTCTGGGCTGCGAAAACTTTGCTGATATGTGACTCGGTCGAAGTGACTTTTTTTGCCCCCCCCCCCTGTATATCTGAGCCTTCGTCCAAACAGTGACATGCCCAGAAGCAAAAACACGAGAATTTGTGGTTCATAAAGCGAACTTCTCCAAGTTCCAGTTTATTAGGAATCACACATCCTTGTATCCAGCGTAATGCAGGCAATAAAAACAGTGTCAGAATCCGACTACCCCTGCAGACGAACTTTGAGCAGCGAACCTCTGATCCGCTATGGTGATCGAACTCCCACATTTTTGTAATGATGACGAAACAGGTCATCGGTATGTTTGTAGTTCGTGGTTATATCCTACTATATATGTCTGTGCGTCCGTGCGTGCGTCCTTGCGTGCGTGTGCGTGTGCGTCCGTCTGTTTGTCACGAAATTCATAGCGCCGGTCCCAAGCAGTGAGACATTGGTTCCAAGAAGTGATGTAGGGGGTGTGACGGGAACACTATTGGTGGGTGACAGGAAGTGATATCAGTTGATAAGATCCGATAAGAGGCGTTAGAAGGGGAGGTCACCATATTCATAACGCGGGTGACAGCATCAGCTAGCTCTTGATTCCGAGATATGATATAGGGTATGGGCCAAGAACATTATTGGTGGGTGACAAGAACTGTAAGCTGCTGCTTTCGATAAGGGGCGTCAGAATTGTGAGGTTTTCGTATTCACAGCGCAGGTCACAGCAGCAAGGAGGCGTTTGTGTCAGCAAGTGATATAGAGGGTGAGATGAGAACATCAACGGCAAGTGACTAGAAGCGATGACTACTGATAGGGACTGTTCAGGGACGTTGCAGTTGTCGTCGATATTTACGGCGGTCCAGCTTTTGCATTGCCAAATTCTACCAACAAATTTCAACATCCCCTACCCTATATCATATCTGGCTATGGTTAAAGCAAGTGATGTAAAGGGTGAAATATGGACACCAATAGTGGGTGACAAAAAGCGATAACAACTTATAGGGACTGATAAGGGACGTTTCAGTCGTCGCCGGTGGTGTTTTTACACTACCAAGTTATAAAGATTCAGGGGTAAGGGCACTGATGACGGGTGACAGGTAGTCATATCAATCGATAAGAATAGATAAGATCATCTGCACTACAATTTTATCACTTCACACCACTGTAATGCCACGTGTTAGAGGCTCAGTGTGTGTTTTCTCTCCTTCAATGTCAACAGAATCAAGGTCGTCCATAATGGGTTTCAGGCAGTGCTGTCGGGGGGGGGGGGGGGGAGAGGTATATTGTGCATGGAACGAGAAATTTCTCATAAAAAAAACTTCGGAAATCTGCCTGCTACATGATTACATGATGTGTGATAATGTGTTAGGTGTTTGAAGGTCGCAATGGAATCAAAACAAGGAGGGAAATCAACGTATGGAGTGGGTATATCTCGTCGGTGGTAACGTTCGAGCTCCCCGTGCGACGCACACGAGTCATGTACAAGGCGATGAGAAGTTCTCCTTTTCAGTGTCGTGACTCTGCAGCTGTGCCTCTTTCAGGGTAAAGGCGTGGGGCGAAGCCATGTGGCCCGGTAAACGGGCCTGTCACAGAAGTAGGAGCGCCCGTCTTCAGCTGGGTGACGACTGGTGTTTTAAAGACACGTGGTACGCTCAAACACATTGAGGGTGTATGAGACTATCAGCCCCCCAGCTGTCGATGTGTCGTGGTTTCCCCGCCCGAAACTGCACGGGGTCAGAGTACGGGGCCGTGGGAAAGTCTAATTCCTTGCTACACCGCCCGAAATGCAACTTGCGGCGCAAACTCCTTTATGCTAACAGCCGTCCGCGCGGCGCGTGTCGCGCGCGACTTTCTTGGCTTTTTGCCAAATCCTGTAATTGCGCTTTGGAATATAAGTAAAGCGCAATTTCCTGATGCGGATAACTTTCAGGCGCTGCAAAATAAGAACCGAAGATGATGGCGAGGGCCAGAGCTCAAGAGCAACTGTGCTGCTTCTGCAATCCCTCGGAGGCCGCGAATTTCCACGAAACATGAAAATAAAACGGTCTTTAAGCGTCCGCACTCGTTATTTCTTAAAGCATCTTAAATGTGAGTCGAATTCGAGCCGGATCCTAGAAATTTACACGCGATTTTGAATAATTTGCGTTTCCTTAATTTTTTCATATTTGTTTTATTTACATCTACATTCGTTGTTCTTCATTTCTAGCCTTTGTCATCTTCATCACCTTCTATTCGGACTTTGAAGCATGAGCAACACCTCAAATGTTATCGCATCAGGAAATTGCGTTTTGCTTATATTAAACTAACGAGTGGAACTCTTAGGCTTTTTATAGTATGTTTTGTGGTAATGCGCGGCCTGGGATATTGCAGAAGCAGCACAGTTGCTGTTGAGTTCTAGCCCTCGTCATCATCTTCAGTTCTTATTTTGCAGCACCTAAAATGTTATCCGCATAAAGAAATTGCGTTTTACTTGTATTCCAAAGCGCAATTACAGGACTTGGCAAAAGTGCCAAGAGAGCCGCGCGCGACACGCGCCGCGCGGACGGCTGTTAGCATAAAGGAGTTTGCGCCGCAAGTTGCATTTTGGGCGGTGTAGCAAGGAATTAGACTTTCCCACGGCCCCGTACTCTGACCCCGTGCAGTTTGGGGGGGACCACGACACATCGACAGCTGGGGG